ATTATTGAATAAATCAGGCCAATCAGCGCAGACCTTTAACCAGGCGCACGTCAGTGAGCCGCGCGCCTGGTGTGTGTGAGCGCTCACTGACGTGCGCCTGGCTAAAGATCTGCGCTGATTAGCCTGATTTACTCAATAATTACTCTTTTATTATAAATAATAGAACAAAATGGTTCAGGACTTTTCGACTCAGTTTTACTCCTTCTATCTGCCTACGAGACATTGTACGGCAATTCTGGGACACCCTGTATATATATATATGTATGGGAAAACGTAACACAAAAAAAACTCCGCCCCCAACTCTCGCGCGGAATTCGACTCACGTAGTTATTAACATGATCGAATACGGTGCGGAATGCGTAAGTGACAAGTAATAAGGCGAAAAAGGAGAGAAAAAGACTTTTTTATGGGTTTCCCTGAGGTTTTCTCATGCTTAAAACGCGTCACAGACGCGTTCTGTGCCATGCTCTTAAACGGCGGCGGCGACGGCGGCCTCCCGGTGTGACTCGGCGCAGAAAAAAAAAAAATAAAAGAAAAAAAAAATAGAGTCACCCGAGAGAAAAGTAGAGAACGAGAGATCAGAAAAAAACATTTTTCGGCTCTCTCGCAATCAACCGCGCGTTCTCGCGCAAAAAAGACGTAATAATAAGACAATATATATATATACATAATATATACGTTATGTACATGTACGTAATATATAAACCATCGTTTTTGCACGCATGCTTAGTTATAGACCAATGCCCAATTACCATATTCTCATCCTAGGCCTCAACGGTGGCCTTCTGGTTAAGCATAAGAAAAATACGATGCTCTTTACTAGTGACTGACATGTTGTAATGGCGGGTGCACGAAGTAAATTCCATTTTATACTCGCCTGTGAGATCGCGAACGCTTTCCCTCAACAATCCTCCGTCTCGCAATATATATTATCATCCAAATCCTTCACACAAATATCGTCACGAAAAACTTTATCCCTCCTCCCCCTCCTTCCCACGTGTATATTTTAAATAAATTTTGAACCGTATAATTTTTTTCTTATTTACACGCAACACATATATTCGCGTCTCGTTATCTTTGTGTATAAATCTAAAGACGATCGTCTCTCCGTGAGAGTCTCGAGATTCTTAAGAGATCGTATTATTTTGCGACGACGTGAGAAATGTAAAATAATTAATTAGCAATCAGCGAGACGGAAAAATTAAAGGGACTACGTTCGGGACTAAATTGGGGCTCTTCGAAAAGTCCGCTTTTTAATTTCCTCTCTTCTCTCATTTATGAGAGACCGAGCGTAAATAATACCACGGCTAATAAAGGCCGGGGGAGCCGGGCATCCTCCCGCTCTCTCGCAAGACAACAAAACACAATCCCCCCCCCCTCCTGATACTCTTCACTCGGGGCTCTTCTCGATATCGGGACTCTCTCTCTCTTTCTCTCTCTCTCTGTCTCTCGCGAGAAAGCGGAGCCTTCACAAGCTAACACGAGTGAGTTTTAATTAAAGAACAACCGATGTGTAGGTATTGGTTAGAGAAAGGATGCGGATTATCCCGGCAAATTTGCGCCGGGTTGGCTCTCGAAGAGCGCCCGATTCTTTCTTACGGCGAGTTTCGAGTTTCAATGCGAAAGCGTTCGAGAGAAATCCACGCGAATGTTATTTGCCGCTCCCGCCGTGTGCTTCCTTGTGTTTCCCAATTACCGTAGTCGGCTACGTGCCGCTTCAAAGCAACGATTCGCGCGAGTCTTTTTCGTGCGATCGCGGCGCACAATGCACCCGCGATGCATTGTACGGGAAAAAAAAAAGGAAAGAGTGCACTTTTCGCTCGTTCGCAAATAAAAAAAAAAAAAAGAAAAAAGAAAAAAAAATAAATTGTTCGATGCAAATAAATCTCGCGCGTAACGTTCGAGCAATTTTCGAAAGTCCGTATAATTCAGTCGGAATTGTACAACACATACACACGCACGACACCGATTCGGTTTAAATTACTCTTGAAGATTAATTTTTATATATTTTTTTTTTTTCGTTTGTTTCGCAAACAAAGCGTTTCCGTGAATTATAGAAACGCAATGCAAAATTGGCCATTACGAGAATCGATTGAGAATGTTTCTCGTTTTCTAAGTTTCAAGAATATATTAACGATCATCAACAAGCGAACGTACGCGTAATTTCGCGACAAATAAATATTTTTCGTGTAAATAAAAAAAAAAAAAAAAAAAGAAAATCAGATTTTTTCTCGAACACTTGAGCATCGGATGGATATACTCGAGCATCTGTGAAAGCGGATGGGGGAACGATAGTCTGCGGGAAGAGGAGGGGCAACTAACTTGAACGAGGCGTGGAGTTCCTGGCGAAGCGTGAGCGGCCTATTTTCCTGGGTCGGCGTGTTCTGAGGCGTGCCGGGCCCGCTTCCGGAGCCCCGTTTCTTTAGAACGCTCTTGAGCGGCACCGCGTGAAACTTGGGCTCCTTCGCCGGTATCTCCTCGACGCGGGACGTGTCGATGGCCGGATCCGGCTGCGAGAACCTGTAGCTGTACATACTGACGTCTTCCTCCTCGACGTCGATGTCTTCCTCATCTGCGGGGAAATCAAAAAAGCGAGCGCGGAAAACCGCGCGTCAAACACAATCAAGATGAGACGTGATTTTCGCGTTCGAGTGGATTAACGCGAACGTTGTTGGTTTTTTTTTTTTTTTTTTTTTTTTTAAACGATTATTATAATTCGCGCGCACGTAAATCAAGCAACTTTATAAATTCGCACGCAAACAGACAGACGGACAGACAGACAGACAGGCACGAGCCGCGCGTTTCATTGTTTCGTTTTATCGACGGGATCGGAACATTTTAATAGACCGCGTTGAGTTTCGATCACTTATGCATACAGTAAATACAAATTTATCAAATAAACACGTCACTGATTGCTTTTTCGAATTCCTGTAATTAAACGCGCGGCGCGGAATTGTTTCGCTCGCCGAGCGTTAATTTATGAATATTACCGCCCGAACAACAACACAATCGTAACAACCCGGTGGGACAATAATTAGGCACGTATCAACGAAGGTAAGTGCGTCAATACGACGGGGAAATTGCGACTCGTCAATTAGCGTGGAGGCAATAATTAACAACGGAATTAAATTGTACTAATAAGATAAACAGTATTAAATAAATTTTGTATGACGTGCGCCATTACCGCGACGATAATTCTATTCGCGGAAAACATTGAAAATCGGGAACGCATTAGGGAGGGGAAGAGGGGGGGGGAAATAACAAAAAGTCGCGCGCAGTGTTTACACGGAAAGATTGATTTTATCGGAAATCGTAGAGCCCTGCTGATGAAACCGACGGGAGGATTCTCTTACGTCGGAGTTGATTAATTGCTCCAATTACTCTTTTCATCAATGTTTACGCTACGCGGACACTTACCCTCGTCCTCGCAGTCCGAGAGCGGGATCTTCCGTTGCCTACCGGCGAACAAAGTTGGACTCGGTGAGCTGAACATCGGCGGCGGCGGTATCGGACCGATTTCGCTCAATGGGATCGGCGGTTCTGGGAGTTCCGACAGCATCAGGGTATTCTGAGGCGGCAACGGATAACACCTCTCGATTACTTGCTGCTGATTGTCGGCGCTCTGATCCAGCACCCCCTTGTCCACTGAAAAACAAAAGTGCGGACTTGACAATCATAGACGTCGCGAAATATTTAATCAATTTTATAAAATCTTTCAAAATATATATATATATATACGTATCTCAAAAACGCAAATCGCACGACACCGTTTTCAGGCATTTAATTTTTATTTTCGTTAACGAGTATTCATTTTTTTTAAACGCGATGCGGAGGAGTCCCACAGATAAGTTTTCAAATTGAATTTAATTCAAATTATTATGCGTATTAATTTACACGTTTCAAATGAAATAAAAAATTATTATTTCGCGCGAACACATCTGGCACACCAGAGAGACTCGCGCGAACGAATTAATCTTCGTTTACCTTGATATTGCACGTGAGCTGTGAAATTTGTTGTTGAATTTGTATTAATTTTGTGAATTTTTAATCATATCGAGAGGATTAACGGGATATAAAAATCTCTTGATGTTGATGTGCGGAGAGAGAGGTGTGCGAACTCATGAATGTTTTTATCTGCGAACTTTCTCTATCTATCGTATAACAAGCTTGACATTGGCAGCGCAACGCTACACAGCGGCGAGTGATAATCCGCAGAATCGAGACGGAAATTCCACCGAAAGAAGAATGTCCCGTCCCAATAAAGTTTGCGCCGCGAAGCGCAGTTGTTTCGGAAAACTGTGATTCATCTCGCAGGAGCAACAATATCTTGGCAAGCGGGAGCCACGCGCGCGCGCGCGCGCGCTCTCTCTCTCTCATCGTTGCAACTTGAGCGAAAACTTGCGAAATATCGTTCGCCGCGGCTCTTTTCGCCGAATTTGTTTATTATTAAATCCGCGCGGGAATGTCGAGCGGAATTTTTAATTTGGCGCTTACCAAAGCAGCTTTTTGGCGCGCGTGACGATTTTTTTTCTTTTTCACAGACATTTTTTATTTCCTCCCCGATAAAAGGGAAATTATTATTACGCGCGTTTTCTTTTTGTATTTTTTACGAATAAAATACAAACCTCTCATCGTTGCGCTCGTTGCCGGAATGTTAAATAACTCGCGAGAGAGAGACGCGCGCGCTGGCCATTTGATAACCCCCTCCTCCTTCCCCCCGTGCACCTAAATTCTGACACAAAAGGATGAAGTTCCAGGCGGTTTCCAACGAGATACTTCGGCTGCCACGCATTCCCCGGGGAAGGACCGCGTTTGGCCGCGTTTTGATCGCGAACACATTATTTGAACATATTTGATTCCAGTCCGGTCCGTTGAATTTATTGCGCCCGCGAACGGCGGGGCGAGAATCGTTCGCCCCAACTGCGGCGAATTTTGGGTCACGCACGACGGCCGACGTTCCTCGCGCAAAGTTCGTCGACGCGATTAATCTCAAACTTTTTGAATAAATGTATTTCCCTCGGCCCGCATAGCTGCGGCGGTACATTAACCTTTATTAAGCGCAGTGAATAATGTGTGTGAAAGAAAGAGATAGAGAGAGAGAAAGAGAGACAATAGCGTTTCCTGGATATATTTCACTTCCCTCTCAGGGAGAGAATTTAAAATTTAAAGAAAAGATTAAGATGTATATATATATTGTCAAAGTTTTTTGTGTCAATGTTTAATCAATTATAATATATAAATTGGATAAAATATTCATTATTGTATCTCGATGAGAAGTTTTTTAACCTGCAAATATAAATTTGCATGGAACGCGTTATGGCGGGAAGTAGTTTTATTTGCACTTTGATGTCACCGCGGCTATGTAGAGAGAAAAAAGAGAGAGAGAGAGAGAGAGAGAGAGAGAGAGAGAGAGAAAGAGAGATAATTTTGCACAAAGAAACAGTCGCGTCTCCGACGTTTCAGTTTGGTCTCCTGTGTGTGTGGGCTCCAACTTCTAATAACTGTTATTAAAAAAAACCTGGAGAGATGTTACCCCGTGGATAAATAATACCGAGCGTTGTCAAAGCAAACTCTAAATTCAACAAAACTTTCCGCTCTCGTGTTTCACTCGACAATAATTACATTCACGAAGCGCGAATCTCCCCCCCCCCACCCCCTCTTCCCCCCAACCCCGCGCTCCGCGCACAGAGAAAACTCGTCGTCTCTTCATCGAGCACGAGTTACCGCGCGCGCAAAAGGATGTTGTTATTGCTCCCTGCAAACTAATGATCCTCAAACTCGAGAGAAAAAAGTCTTCTCTATTCGCAAGTTTTTTTTATAAACTACAGAAACGCAATAACGAAAGTTTATGCCAGTTGATGCCGCTCGTCCTGGCACGGTATCTTTTTTATAGATAGATAGATTTCCTCCTCGTGTCTCCGCGAAAGAAAAACGCAAAAACAAGTTTACAAGTAATCACGAATCCCTGTTGCGGATGACACGCAAATAAATGCGTAAAACTTGCATAAATATTTAATTAAAAATATGGTCTAGATTACTTGTTATGTAACAGAGTAGCTCACCTACAGAGGTGTGCACTGGTGTGTATGTGTGTGTGTTTATGTACATTCAATATTGCAATCATTCCGAAGATAAAATAAAAACACATGATCATAAACCTAGATTATGCGTGAACAATCAGATCGCGCGATCAAATTTTGGACCTTTTGATAAGATCAGATCCAAAATTTGTTAATGTAAGATCAATCCGTATAAGATCATATGTAAGTTTATATATGATCGTATAAGATCGGATCGCGCGAAAATTTCACGCGATCTGATCGCTTGCGCACGATCCTGATACGATCATGTTTCTATTTTTTTTTCTGTTATATTAATATTTTTCTTTTTAAAAACACTCTTGGGGGAGGACATTTTTATTTAATATCATTATGGTATAATTGTTAACGCACGTAAGTGCGCGTGTTTAGAAACGACGAACCACCCTCTTCGCGTCGTAAACAAAATTTCATCGCGGTTTCGCCGATTTCGCGCCGAACTTTTCTCTGAGCGACGACGACGCGCGACGAATTTCAAACTTCAAAAACGCACGAGCAGCTCGCGAGAGTATATTTACTCACTGTCGAACAAGATCAGCCTCCTGGCTACCACCCTGGGGTCGAGGGTGTTCGGCCTGTTTGGCTTTTGCTGGTCCCCGACGTCCGAGACCGGACCCGAGACCGGCGTCGCCGAGCCGATCGTTCCGAAATTGGCGGCTTCGCCACCGCCACCGCCGCCGCCGCCGCCGCCGCCGCTCGGCGATATCGCGCCATTCGCACTCTGTTCAGTCTTTTCCTTCTTCGGCTCTGCAACAGAAAAAAAAGTTCGGCACCGGTAAGAATTGCCGTGGCGAGACATTTTGTGCGGTAGTTTTTTTTTCTCTTTCTCCCTTTTTCTCCCGGTTCGGACCCGATTTCTCGCGATTTTCTCAATCGGATAAAACGCTCGCTCAGAGAAAAGTGTCCCGCGAATCGACCGTTTTACGGATAGAATATTTATTACTTTTCGCGTCCGGTTAGGATTTTTTTTTTTTTTTTTTTTTTTTTTTACGTGAAACGGTGCCGTTGCCTCTGCATTATAAATATTCGATCGCGATACGCGTTTTTGTGTTTCCGGATCGTTGATGCGTCCCGGCGAGATATTGTATCCAGATATTTGAATTCTTAACGTCACACATCCATCGATCGAAAGCAATATTGTAGATAGGTGTTTCTACAAATTGCTCGGCTTACATACAAAGCTTTAGATATAATCTTTCGGCGCACTTTTATATATACAAATTGTAAAAATTTTGGTTCGAACAAAACATCAACAACGGCGAGTAAAACAAACAGACGTCGACGTTGCAGCGAATAAGTCGTCTCATTAATTATTGCGCCTCTCGTATATCGGATCGATATAGGATTGTTTTGTGACAAAAGGAATCGATTTGTGTGATGGTAAAACGACGCGTAGCGAGAGGCACAGAGACTTTTTTAAATTACCCATCGCATTCGCGCTTTCGAGAAACGAAGAGTAGCGACTACGTGAAAGTGTCCGTTTATCGATATAGGAAAAAAGCGCGAATATATATGGCGATACGCTGGCGTATCGTCCGCGAAACGTCCGAGCGCGAAAAAAGGACCACGTCCAGATCGGAGCCTGGCCTGACACATCGCGCCGGAGAGGCCGAGAAACGAAACAAAAAGCTGCGCGCGCTTTATCGACTGTTCCGGCCCCGTTGCGGATTTCGAGGAGTTGACACATTTCCGATTCCGGTCGGCTAAAAGGCAACATGAGGTTTTCAAAAATTCGCTTTGTGCGCGCGCGCGCGTGTGTGTGTGTGTTCGCACGCATCCCGATAAATCAATCGATAGGAATTATCGAGATTCGCCGCGCGAGAAGTTCGCGTTTCGATTCACGACCGCGCGACGTCGTTACGAAATCGTCCGCGAGAAGAACATTCGCGGAAGTTTGTTCTAAATAAAATGCCGTAATAATGTACACGTTAACGGTACACATCCGAACAAAAGCTCCTATGGGAGTTTTAAATCCATCGCGCGACTTTATTATTACGTCGTGAAACGATTAAAAAGAGAACAATCCGTCTCGCAGTTGGTCCTTTTTTTTTTTTTTTTTTTTTGCACGAAACTATAATTAATTAATTAATCGTTGAAAGACTCGAAAACTTTATTAATTTCCGTAATGATGAAAAATCGCGATGGGGAGAGAAGATAAAATTGCTGCGCGCAGGTTCCTGCTAATTCTTTCGGCTCGGAATTTATTATTGGGGAAACAGCTTTTACTGCTGTGCAATTAAAATTTTAATAAAGCTGTTAGATCGCTACTCTGTTGTTCAGTCTCTCTCTCTTTTTTTTGTAATTTTTTTTCTGGAAAAATATACATATTAAAAATATACATATATATTTACATATATTACGTATTTTTCTACAAAGCGAAGCAAAACACCTTTGACGATGACCTTTGTTAAGCGACGTTAAAGGGAGTTTATTTAATAACAAATAAACGAGATGATATCGACTATCATCAAGAAAGAGAGAGAGAGAGAGAGAGAGAGAGACGCGATATTGCGGCAGTGCGTCATTAAATCGCTGATATCATAACAA